CCTTTAAAGTACGTCATAATTTATCAACAAAACCCCCAGTTTGCTCGTAAAAAAATGACAGATCCATTTGTTATTGGGAATTATTTCAAATTATTGACAACAGTCTTTAGAGAACGGACGTGCAACTTAAAGAAAAACCTAACCAAATGTGGAACTTGGATGAGACCCGTCTCTCGATGGATCCCTCAAAAACAAAAGTAATTGGGGGAAAACGTACTGTATGTCGACGCATAATAAGTGGTCCGCAAAAAACGAATGTGACAATTATATCAACAATTAGTGCTACAGAAGAGAAAGCTCCTCCGATTATCATTTTTAAAGGAAAATACTTTGTCTGAGATCAGTGAATGGCAAGTAAAGATGGTGGCTTTGAAATCGGTTAGGCAGCAAGCAGAAACGGGTAGATGAAAGCAGACATATTCTTAAATTATGTAATGAAGACTATTATTATTACTATAGGTCCCGAGAGACCTGTACTACTTGTATATGACAGTCTAAGCACACATGTGGATCCCAAAGTCATACAAATGGCTAGAGAATATAACATTACAATACTCAAGCTACCCGCACACACCTCACACCTTCTCCAGCCACTTGACTTGGCTGTATTCAAATCATTTAAAACTAATTGGGATGCAAAACTCGTGGCTTGACTAAATTGTACGTGTACAAAATTATACTAAGTACTAGATTAAAACTTCCCAAAAATAAGTTTTCAGAGAAGGTACTAGATGTATGGAAGAACTTGAAACCAGACATAATTCATAATGGTTTTAAAATAAGCGAACATATATCCAATATAGATCACATAAATGGATGGGTGACAAAACAAAAACAGGAGTGAAATGAACATATCAGTAGAATGGCAGACGATAGAATAGTACGAATAGCACGAAATAAGTCACCAAATGGACGAAGAAGTATTGGCGGACCAAGAAAAAGATGGTGCGACAATTTATGAGGCTAATATCGAAGAAGAAACAGGCTTTAAAGTCTATATACTAAAAGGAAGAAGAAGAAATAGAAGAAGAGCATATATCCTTATAGTGCTGTTAAATATATAATGCTGTTAAATAAACTGCTGCAATTTCTGGAGACAAGAGGATAGCTGAAAATTATAATGCTAACACATTAGAAGCTGGGCCAATTGACGCTTTTTTAGAAGTCTAACTAAGAGAAGCTTCATTCCAGGATCTTTTACTTAACAAAGTTCAGCAGCAGTACCAAAAAACAAAAGACGGATTGCAGCAAGAGCAGAAGTAATAACTCTGCAAGCGGCCAATGACAAAATTGCAAAAACAGAGTCAATTAAGAAGCAAAAAGGTTAGAAAGAAAATTCAGTAGCGAAAGCGAAGAAGACGATTATAAAATGAAAGAGATTTATCTAGACTTAGATTTTCGCATAGATATTCTGAATCGAAACAATCCATTAGGGGAGAATAATACAAGTGACTTTCTATTAAAGTAATATTTGGGTTTTGCTGAAATACTGCCCAAAAAGGGATTTTTCTATGTAGAACAAGTGATGTGATGGAAGATATATTGAATGATGAATACCTGGTAAAATACTTAAAACATAAGCATGACAGTGCACAGTTTTTTTTGGCCCGAGCAACACGACGACGATACTGTACCGAAAGACACAATTGCAAGGTTTTGACTAGAACCTGAGAAGGATCGTCAAGGTAGTTATAATAACTTTCCTTTATGCAGAGTTTTGTTAATAAACATTAAGTTATTTCATGTTATATACTTACTTAAATAAAAATACCAAATTACTACCATCGTTTGCACAGACTCTTTATTTTGTTACTGGGAAGTTACCTGGATTCGAACTTGATACTGAACGGACACTGACTATATATCGTCAGTGACCTGGTGACCTATGTGACTTTAACTAAACTATTCAGGAGAGACAAAAAACTTTATAATTATAAAATTTTAAAATATTTCAGTTGTATGTTTGTGTTTTATGATCTGCGTGAAAGCGACATTTTTACTTACTATGAAAAAAGTTAATATTTAATTGAATTTAGTTTTGTTACGCTAGATAGGACATATCGCATTAAGTAATGTTACTCATAGGAGATACTGATTTTGATTTAATGTGCACTTAGGAGTTGTTGTTTATTATAAATAAACCGCATAAATGCCCCTTTATCCAAATAAAATTAAATAATTCGTTGAAATTAAACATTAATTAAATTAAACAGTTTTATTTATGGTAATATAACACAACATTAAAACTTCGAAAAACAACGAGCAAAAAGTATTTCATAAGTAGGTATGTCCAAAATAAATGCGAGTCTTTCGGTAGGGTCGATTAAGATCTTGTAACGATAGAAAAAAGGTGGATAGTTCAGAATTCTTGGTATAGTATTTGGTCTGATAGGGACTTGAACGTGTTCTTCTTGATGGTCAGTTTTTATTTCTATGGTCCCAACTGGATCGTATTTGATATATTTTATATCAGTAATTGGGTCGAATTCAGAATATCGCATGCGGTGGAAGGAAGAATAGTCTTTAAAAAACGTATGGTGTAATATTTTGATATTATATGGCTTAGTTCTCTTTCTTGCTTGAGCAGTAATGGAAGCATAGTCACTGGGGAAATGAATTTTCTTATTTTTAATACTTCTTTCTATCATACTATGTACAGAGTCACATTCCATTTAAGAGTGAACTAGTTCAAGATATTTTTGAAACACTAACACATTATGTTTGATAGCAAAGTTTAGTAAAGCTGGTTATTTTCGTTTTCTAAAAACCAATAGCACATAACATCGCGAGTTTTTAGCTTTTAAACTGTAAAGTTATGGCAGGACAATTTGGTTTAAAGTACATTTTGTTCGCTGGTACATATGGGCACAATTTAACGGCTTGTAGGTCCATTGTTAGGGTTATTATTCCATTTTTTTTCACTTATGGCTTTATTCAAAGTTTTAGCTTCTTTGGCGTCTTCGTTTTTCTTTACATGAGCTCTATATTCTTCTTCAGTCATATTCTTATATTTAAATGCAAAACAAATATTGCATTGGTCTTTTTTTGGTGTATATAAAGCGAAATTATTCTCCTTAAATCATTTTGAGAATAAGTTTGTGACCTAAAGGAGTTATATTCTTTTCTTGGCAAAAACTGTTTACATAAACACCATACAAATCTGACACACTGTTAAAAGAATATTCTAAATACAATTTTTGTGTTTCGCTACGATAAAAGTGTGAAGGAGTAAACTCTTAAAAAATTGTTCCAAGTATTTATGACTTTCGGTATATCTATAATAGTCTTTACTATTGTCTTGGTAGAAACACGTGATGCTTCGTCTATATCTAATTTATTTGTAATCATGCTACGACATACTTGTAAGTTCTCATTCCCTTCATGTAAGTAGTAAGTGCACTACGTTGTCTTCTTGAATTTTCCTTGTTTGATTTAAATATTGAAGTTTTAAATACATGAGATGCTACAAAGACCTTACGTTGATCCCAAGTCATAACCCAAAAGTTGACTACATGACTTCTGCACTGTTCTGTAAATTCCTTGCAATATCTTAATTTGCAAATTTTACTGACTTTAGACGACTCTTTGAAACATTTTGCTTTTCTTGGTATATCTTGCTTTCTCTTTCCGGATTTTTCACTAAACCCAATGTATACTGTACCTTTAATTCGAAGTTTTTTGTTTTTCTATCTTCTTCATTGATTTTTATTCTGACTAAGCTTCCTCTTTGTTTTCATGGTAATTTCATTATCACTGGTTGTGTTCACCAGATTTCTTTCAATATGTATTATTATTTATACTAGTATTAGAACTTTCTTGAACATTACTGGTATTTGCAATTTCATTAGTCTCGTCTTTTTCAGTAGAACATTCATAGCGCACAAAAGATACCACTTTTTTATTTTTTTAAACTGGCAGTAGTATTTGTTTATGTGTTAAATTATTTAATATGAGGTTTAGAGAAATATTGGTATCACAAGTGCTGTTATTAAAAAATGCATTTCTTTAGATACATAATGACTTGGTATAACACAATTATTATTATCCGGTAAACAGTCTACTTCGTTAAAGTCTTTTAAGCGATCTGTTAAGTCAAAGTCAGCTCTGTTCAATTTTGCATTGCTGTAAGCGTAGTAATAGTATGATTGTCTTCAGGCAGAGGTTCGTCTCTATAATACCATAACTATAGGCGTATTTTCAATATTTTGGTTTTCAAATGCGAAAATTTCATCAGAATTTGTCAGTTGGTTTACTAGTAAAGCGTCCATTTCCTCGCTTCTATTTATAACCAAGTTTTCGTAATATGCATATAATATCTTGTGATAACCAAGTTTTCGTAATATGCATATAATATCTTGTGAAACTCACCAAAAATATCGCATTTCGTTGAAAAACAACTCAGTCAACTAGCATGCAATACTCTATGATAACAACATACAAACTGACAAGATAGGACATGTTGCATATAGTTTACAGTGTGAATTCAAATAGGAGAAATTACAAGTAGTGTTTTTATATATTTGGAAACTTTTTTCGTTCATAGGACTTGTTCGGACGAATCTTTGATGTAAGCAATTTCCGAATTTATCGATAACTCATTTTCATAAAAAAATGCAGATAGGAGAAATTGCCAGGTCACCGACGATATATTATTATTTTTATTGTTTTAGTAAAACGTTTATGTTAATTATAAATCTAACCTTGTAGATGGATAGAGTATGCCTTGAAAATATATTATGCATTTTATTATAATTGTATGCCTAATTTTTATCTAATGCTGTAATGTATTACAGCTTTTGAGTGGTTTTTTAATTTTTAAGTTTCGTTTAGAAAGCTTTATATGCTGACAAAATTCAAAAAGGAAGTTACACAAACCACTTCTTTTTATGAAAGCACGTTTTTTTGATTTTAACGGTTTTAACCAGTTTGACCAAATAGTGATATGATAACGGACATAAAAATCTTAGTTGTTATTCAAAATTACTAATGCTTTTACTCACCCGCATGGCTAACGGTTGCCGTGAATAATCTACAGGTTGACATCTGTAACTATAATGACTGAACCAACCTGCTACACAACTCTAAAATATAAACGAATAAATTAATAACATTAAAAAAACAATATGATTAATTGAGAAAACAATAATATAAAATTTCGCCAATAAAAATTACACCAATAATCAATTACCTTACGGATAACGGTAAAGGAATAAACTGCTTATTAAGGATCTAACTATCTAACTAAAAAATTGCAGTTGCTAAACAAAGTAGGTGAGGTCGAGGAAACGCTAATCGGTGTGCCAGACGATATGATTGTATGTTAGTACTAGAATTCATTGGAATGAACCATCTAAATATCGCAGTATACCACAAATTTTCAAGCCGAAAAGAAGAATGTAAAATACTAAGTTTGTTCAATTGAAACCGTCTTTGCCCGAGAAAAAATAATTGGTAAATATATCTATAAATTATTAAGGCACATATTCCATTGTTTTCCAATACAGGTATACCATGCTTAAAGAATTCTTGATCTCGGAGAATTCTTTTAAAACATTTTAAAATTACGTTTTAACACATTTCTAAGTGACCCAAAGCTGTGGAAATTACAAGGTGATAAATCGGGACTTAAGGGTGGATGATTTATTATCCTCAATTTTTTTGGATGTAGATTTTATTTTACTAACTGAGACCAATTTAGAACCATATTAGATAAAACTGTAACTAAATATCCCACTAAAAACTAGTTTGAAGCAGCCGTAGAATACTTCAACCGTTCAATTCAGCTAGCTGCACGGCAATCTACGCTTAATTAAATAAAAAATATGGATTACAAAAATCATAAATTACCATCACTCATAAAATCGCTAACTAAAAATAAGACTTAAAAAAGTCTGGCAAGAAACAAGGTCACCAGGATATAAAACAATACTTAACAGAGCAACGATAAAACTGAAAAAAAAACTCTTAACAATCACAAGAATTTGAACATTAACAACTACGTTAAAAACCTACCGGCGACAGAGTCAACAGAATACTTGTTATAAAGGCCTAGAAAAATTAATAGATTCTTACTCCTAATCCCATCAATCCGCATGGAAAATGGTAACTGGACCAGAACTAATTAGTAAAACGTTTGCTAACCACTTTTTTAACTGGTCAATTCCTGATATAGATAGTGGAAACTAGCCGAAGTTATACTCATTTTTAAACCTAGGAAACTTCTGAATAGTGCCACTTACTATAGACCAATTAGTCTCTCGATAATACCAGGAAATCTATTTGAAAAGCTCTTGCTTCTAAAGTTAGAACCCATATCAAAAAATCTCCAGATAATACCAAATCATAAATTCAGTTTCAGACCGTAACACGCAACCATAGAACAAATATATCGAGTGACAAAAAAGATAAGACAATATCTTGAAGACAAACTGCGGCATTTTTAGACATTTCACAGGCTTTTGCTAGGTCAGGTTTTGTCAGGTTTCCCTGGAATACTGGCCTTCTCTATAAAATCAGAAATCTTCTACCTGCTAACCTTTTACTGATTCTCCAATACTACCTACACAACTGACAATTCGCCGTGACTGTGTATGAAAAAGACTCTAGCCTCCGTATAGTCCACGCTGACATTCCTCAAGACAGTATACTTCCTTGTACCTTTTATATACTGACGACAGTGAACTCCCAATAGCCACATATGCTAATGGTACCGCCATTTTGTCATGAAACTCCAATCCAATTATCTCTTTACATCGACTCCAGAGAATGCTAAATGATATTCAGCAGTGACTAAAGAAATGGCACATCAAAGTAAATAGAAGTAAGTCGGTACATGGTTCGTTCACAAACCGGAGAGGCAACTGTTCACCAGTAATACTTAAAAATCATCAACTTTCCCAAAAAGAAGATACTAAATACCTAGGTATGCACCTGGATAAAAGACTTACATAAAAAAATTAAATTTTCACAAAAGGGAAGCAGCCGGGACTCACACTCAACAGAATGTACTGACTCATGGGCCGTAAATCAACGTTGTCACTAAAATAATAATACTCCTAATATAAAAATAATCATAAAGTCTGTCTGGAGTTATGGACTACAACTCTGGGTTCAGCTTCTCAAGTCCAACATCGAGATATTAGAAAGATTCCAGTCCAAAGCGTTACGCATGATTATCAACGCTCCATGATACATCCTAAATTGCAATATTACAAAATACCTCAAAATGATGATTGGTGAAAATGATGAAAATGTTGGTTTCATTTACGCTTTCAATTATCTTGTCTATCATCATGTTAAAGAGATCTGGACTAAGGCTATTCCCTGCCTGATTCCTGCCGACACGTTTATTTCTTTGGTCAGTCCATGCTCCATTGTTATTCTTGTTTTATTACAACTGCTGAGTTCTCTAATTATTGTTGTGTTTTTCAACTTAAAGATTTGGTTGCTTCTTTCAGATGGACTCTGCCAAAAAGTTCCATATTCATTATTTGCACTTTTCTTTCACACTCTGTCAAAGCTTCTGCGTAGAGTTGGTGAGATGCATAAACCCCGTGATAAACCTTTCATAAGTAGGAATGCTTTGGTAGTATATTTATCTGATTGTATTGGTTAATTTTTGATAGATAGGCTTAACTTAATTCACATCTCAGTGATATTAGAAAAACAGTTTACGATATTAGGAAAATAGCATCTGACACGAATATTCGAAATGCTTTCGAATTTACAGAATTAAAATTTACACGTTTAGTTTTTGGTTATTTTGAAAGTATTAGATTTAGAAAGTATTAAATTTTTGGAAGTATTTTCCCTAATAAATTTGATTTTTGGTGTAAATTTATAGGACTTCTTAAATATGATAAAATAATAATATTTACCTCATAAAATAACCACGTGCTAAATATCACTTGAAATAGATTATATATCACTAAAACTTTCTTCAATTCAAAAGGTTTTCTATTTTCCATAAATTTTGGTCCTAATACTTTTACAATATATACATAAGTTAAGCAGATAGCAAGCGTGTAAAATGGGGAACTCATAAGGAACCAATCATTGACTCTCGGATCTGAAAATAAAAAAAAAAAACAACATTAGCAAGTTTGTTTTAATATATATTATTTGTTGAAGTTAGGGTATACATTATATTTAAACATTATATTATACATTATTTTTTAAAGAAGGTTATTAATATATTTAACGATAACTTAAATATTTATCAAGATACAATATTGGCAAACACCTTTTAGGACGACCAATGGTTTCAAGCTTACCATATGGTTGCAGTATTAATTTAAGATAATATCTTTGGCCATTTGGTGCAGAGAGATAGAATCTTATATTGGAGGACGACAATGCACTGAGGCGTGGAAGTTTATACACTTTGTTAAGAAGCCGACTAACGAGTAAGTGATTCTAAATCCCATAAATCCCGAGGATTGGACACATTATTACAAACATCTATTAAATGAGAACAGAGACGAATTTAAAGAAGATATGAATTCATCAAGAATCGAAATTCTGGGAGAGCATATTACCATAGATATCAACACAGTTCAAAAAGCTATAGCAGGAATGAAGAATGGGAAAGCAAGTGGACCAGAGGGAGTAACTACGGAATTAATAAAGAATGGCTCAGAGAAATTACACAGAATGATCACGGTGATATTTAACGAATATATTAATGGACATACAACACCAGATGAATGGAAAACAGCATATATGACCAATATATAAAAAAGGTGACAGGAGAAATTGTAAAAACTATAGAGGGATATCGGTCACAAGTTCAATGAGTCGACTATACGGTCGAATACTACGGGACCTGATAGAGGAAGATTATCAATCGTCTGAAGACGAAGAACAAGGAGGATTTAGAGCAGGTCGTTCATGTACAGATAACATCTTCTGTCTTAAACAAATTATAGAAAAGAAAGTTGTGACAAATAGAGAGTTACATATGACTTTTGTAGATCTTGAGAAGGCATATGACACAGTCCCGCTAAATAAACTATGGGAAGTCCTGGGCACATCAAATATACATCAAACATTGGTTAGTGCTTTCAAAGATCTATATTATGGTTCAAACTCTCAAATGAAATTCGGAAATCTCTTAGCTGAAAAATTTGCAGTTACTAAGGGTCTCAGACAAGGATGTTGTATCTCTCCGACTCTGTTTAAGATTTATATCTCTGCAGCTCTGAAACAATGGAAAAGGAAAGTCAAAGGAATGGGTATACAATTGAACGATCAGGATTACATATATACTTTACAGTTTGCAGATGATCAGGTGGTGATCTCAAATGACAAAGACGACATGGAATACATGCTTAGAAAACTAATTGAAGAATACCAGAAATGGGGATTAAATATCAATTTAGAAAAGACAAAATACCTCTCAATTGGAGCTGAAGCAGAACAACTCGATATCGATGACAATCAAAAAGTAAATCCATGTGACGAATATAAATACCTGGGCGTCATCTTCGACCGTAGTGGAAAAGACGAACGAGAAATAGAACATCGAATTGTACAAGCACGAAGAGCTATAGCATGTTTGAACGGAGTTCTATGGAGTAAAGAAATATCAAAGAAAAGAAAATGGAACATCTATGAGACAATGGTTAAAACTAGCCTACTTTATGGAGCTGAGACATGGAGAATAACCGACAAATATAAGAAAAAGGTCGAAGCCACGGAAATGGATGCCATCAGAAGATCGATGAGAATATCAAGAGCCGACAGAATACGGAATGAAGTGATAAAACAACAAATGGGTATAGAGGGCACTATAGTTGAGGATATTGAGAGAAAACAGCTCATATGGTATGGACATGTGAGCCGAATGGGGGACGAAAGATTGCCTAAAAAAACGATGATGTGGCAACCCCCAGAGAAGAGGAAACGAGGAAGACCACCACAGAGCTGGAACATGGGAGTTAGGAAAGCGATTAGCGCTCGAAATCTGGACGAAGACCTAACTCAAGACCGAATACAGTGGCGGTTGGGAGTCGGACAACGTCGTAAGACGTTATAAAACCGAATGTATATATATATATATATATCTTTGGCCATTACAACCATACCGATCTTTCGCAGTGTTGGTATCATAAATTCATTTTTGATATTATCAAAGGTATTTCAATAGAGAATGAGACTTTGTTTTATAGAATATACCAGGAATCAGATATCGTAAAATATATTAAGTGTACACCTACATTGGAACGACGTCGCCCTATATCGGATCGGGAGAAATACGGTAGACGGAGATATTTTGTTTATTTTTTCAAAATTTAAAAAAATCCTAGTCCACATTTAATAACGATATTTCCATTAATAACAAGGATATGACGTCTGAAATGAATAGGGCATGTAATGCGGATTTAACATAATTACCTAGCTAGAAAAACGCTCCTTGATAGACCCATTGGCCAGAGAAGAAGAGGAAGATCCAGAATAAGATTTCTTGGTAATATCGACAAAGCCATTAGAAATATGGAAATACGTGTTTGGCTGAGAAAGGCGATGGATAGAAACGATTGGAGAGAAATTATTAAGGAGAAGAGGATCCACGCAGGGTTGTAAAGCCAGAATGATGATGATGATAATGATGAAAATTGCAAAAAACATTCCGTTAGAGATAATACTTTTGAACAAAGCAATTGTTTAAACGAAAAGGGATCTATTCTGTAATAAAATTAAATTCTTTACCAGCATGCATCACCTGAGTAATGGTAGAAAATGTAATTGGAAGAATTGAGCTACTGAAATGGAGCTAGGGGGACACGTGGTACGACATGTCAACAAAAGATGGACGAAAAACATTGTACATTACAAAAACATAGTTGTAGTAGAAGAACACTACAAAAACGGTGGGTAGACAACATAAAAGTAAAAGTGGGAGAAACTAACATCAAATAACACAAAACAAAGACGAGTGGAGAACTCATGGGAAGGATTTTGTGCAGAAGTAAAGAACGAAGAAGACATATAACTAAGACGAATATAATAAAATACTACTGCACAAAAAGTATTTTAAAAAAACGATGGAAGACATGTTTTGACAGTTTCATAAACAACGATACCTAAAGTTGAAATATATTGTCCTGAATATAGCACTTCCGGTTATACCGGAACTAGACATTAACTTTGTTATTTTAAACAAAACCTAGTATTTTTCTATTTTATTTTCAAATTCTACGTAAAACTTTAGATACAATTTGAGCACAATAGCCTATTTTAAAAATGAAGTATTTTCGAGATATTTTGTTTATTTTTTCAAAATTTAAAAAAATCCTAGTCCACATTTAATAACGATATTTCCATTAATAACAAGGATAGTAACGTGAAATTATAACCAATAAACAATAAACGCTTTCTTGTTAATGCCCTAAGTATAACTAATTGATATTTCATACAGGGTGGTTTAATCTTGGCCGCCAACATGCACAATTTAAATAATTTATAAGTTGAAATCCACAAGGAAAATGAATTTCCTGTAGTTGGCTGTATACCATGAATCACAAAAATTTTATAGAAAAATCGTTTATTGTAAATAAAATAAACTATTGTATGTGTGGAAAGACTTTAAAAATGTTTAGACTTAAAGTAGGATAACATCAATACATATACCTAGTGGGACAAAGATGAAACAATATTGATGAGGCCCTTTATGTTCTCAACATTTGGTTCCTGGTTAGAAGAGTTAAACTGTAACTTGGAATTTATCTTGAACTGTTGTGTTTGAAAATTGTAGACTAATCATTGAGATGGAATGACGTAAAGAAAATATTTGGGTTGTAAGTAGTGTAAGTACGCATGGTAACTAAAAGAATAATAAGGAATAAGATCCTGTCTGTTCGTAATTTACATTTGGTACCTGAAAATTATAGTAGGTATGTATGATGTGAAGATACTAATTGTTGATGATAGCGGGGTAACGTTTAATGTGTTTATTTTGTATAGTAATTAAATTGTAACATTAAACGTTTATTGGATTTGGAAAAACTGGTTATATTGGAAACAAAGGTTAATTAAAGTTCACGGTATGAAAACTGATTAATACCGCTAAAGTGGTAATACTTATTCTAAGTAATAATACACTGATCATAGACTTTTTAGTTTTAAAACGTTCTGTGATATAGCCCGAAAGAGTCTTTCAATTATATGCCTTTTCCAACAGATTAAAGAAAAACAGTTATAAGTTACTTACTTTAAATAGAACCTGTATTTTTATTATGTTTTCCGCTGTATTTTCTTAAGATAAGTCTTTTGGTATTGGTATTTCCTATACTTAAAGCTACTTACTTTGCCAACGAAAACAGTTCATCGCATTTTAAAAAAATACAAATGAAAACCCATGTTCATTTCATCTGGTGTAACACTTACAATTATTTGATTCTCCTCAAAGGGCACAATTAGGTAAATGGTTTTTAATGTAGACCCAATAGGATAAAAACTTCATAAAAAAGGTATATGATCTGAAGTAGCACAGTTTAGCAAAAATAGGTTATTTAATCGACATAATCCCAATTTTGGTCTAACTAAAATAAAAAAGTTAGTGGAGAATGTTATTTCTAAGATAGTTGTTTTTTATTTAATAAAAGTCGATAAAATTTTAGCATTAAAATTGTATAATGATAATTTAAATGGTGACAGAAATTACCACCTAAAAGCTGCCATACGACCGGCGCGCTGTTAACCGGCTCCTATAGATTTTGGCATTTGGGAGAGTCAGAGAGTCTTACTTGCTTTTATTTCTGTAATAATCGACCATATTTTTCGAATTACAAAACAACTTAACGAACAGGATTCATAAATCTTTAAAAGTAGATGGTGCTAATTTTATTCACTTATTATAAAACTTTAATACGCGGACGATATCTGCCTATTAGGTCAAATGTTCCAAGATCTGGCTTGCCAATTGGAAACACTTTCCACTGAAACCAATAGAATAGGTTTGAAAATCAATATTAGTAAAACCCAGTCCATGGGAATAAATGCAAGGAACAACACGCTATTTACTATCGACAATATGCAGATTGAAAATGTGGAAAACTTTACGTATCT